TTAGTGAGTGGGTGAGTGGGTGGGTGAGTGAGTGGGTGGGTGAGTGGGTGAGTGAGTGGGTGGGTGGGTGGGTGAGTGGGTGAGTGAGTGAGTGGGTTAGTGAGTGAGTGGGTGGGTGAGTGGGTGGGTGGGTGAGTGGGTGAGTGAGTGGGTGGGTTAGTGAGTGGGTGAGTGAGTGGGTTAGTGAGTGAGTGGGTGGGTGAGTGGGTGGGTGGGTGAGTGGGTGGGTGGGTGAGTGGGTGGGTGGGTGAGTGGGTGGGTGGGTGAGTGGGTGAGTGAGTGGGTGGGTGAGTGGGTGAGTGAGTGGGTGGGTGAGTGGGTGAGTGGGTGGGTGGGTGAGTGGGTGGATGAGCGGGTGGGTTAGTTGGTGGGTGGTTGGGTGGATGGGTGGGTGAGCGAGTGGGTGGATGGGTGGGTGAGCGAGTGGGTGAGTGGGTGGGTGATATGGTGAGTTGGTGAGTGGGTAAGTGAGTGGGTGGGGGAGCGGTTGAGTGAGTTGGTGAGTGAGTGCCTGAGTGAGTTGGTGAACAGCACTTGCCCCTGCAGTCTGTTAGAGGCTACCTGGGGTATCTTTGTCTAGAACTGGTACCCTGAGTACGATCTTCTCCTAGGGGAGCGGTGGGTGTAGTGGTTAGCGCTACGCTACGCTGCCAACCTGGCAACCCGAGTTCGATTTCCACTCACGGCCAACACCGCCGGTGACGATTATCTGAACCGATTACCTGGGCCTCCCTTAGGTCGACTCAGCCTCAAATGAGTACCTGGTGTAGCTGTGTAGTGTAGTGAACATCTCTACTGGGGAGACAAAGGCGGCCGGGCGTGGTGCTGGCCACCCACCCCCTCGTGTGCCGTTCCGGCCTTCATAGGTGCTCGCTAACAGCACTTGCCCCTACAGTCTGTTACAGGCTACACGGGGGATCTTTCTGTGTGTGTGTGTAGGTGTATGTGTAGGTGTGTGTGTGTGTAGATGTGTGTATGTAGGTGTGTGTGTAGGTGTAGGTGTGTGTGTAGGTGTATGTGTAGGTGTGTGTGTTGGTTGTGTAGGTGTGTGTGTGTAGGTGTGTGTAAGATTGTGTGTAGGTGTGTGTGTAGGTGTGTGTGTGTAGGTGTGTGTGTGTGTCGGAGTAGGTATGTGTGTGTGTATGTGTGTGTGTATGTGTGGAGGTGTGTGTGGGTGTGTGTGTGTATAGGTGTGTGTGTAGGTGTAAGTGTGTGTAGGTGTGTGTGTAGGTGTGTGTAGGTGTGTGTAGGTGTGTGTGTGTAGGTGTGTGTATGTGTGTCGGTGTAGGTATGTGTGTGTAGGTGTGTGTGTGTCGGTGTGTGTGTAGGTGTGTATGTAGGTGTGTGTGTAGGTGTGTGTGTGTGTAGGTGTGTGTGTGTCGGTGTAGGTATGTGTGTGTAGGTGTATGTAGGTGTGTATGTGTGTAGGTGGGGAGCTGTGGTGCAGCGGTTAGCGCGCTACGATACCGGTTCACTGACACACACACCTACACACACACAGACAAACACACACACACAGACACTCACACACATACAAACACACACAGACACACACAGACACACAGACACACACAGACACACACTCACAGACACAGACACTCACACACATACAAACACACACAGACACACAGACACACACACAGACACACACTCACAGACACACATACAAACACACACACAGACACACACAGACACACACACAGACAAACACACACACACAGACACTCACACACATACAAACACACACAGACACACACAGACACACAGACACACACACAGACACACACACACAGACACACACACACAGACACACACATGGCACTGTACACACGCACTGTACAAAATGTTCAAATGCCTCACTGTCACGAGCGGAACTCTGAGAGAAACCCTCACACAGACACAGGTAGAGCGGTCCCAGCTAGACCACGAGGCTCGCAGGGGCAAGGGCGAGATGGCACACACACAGACACACTACATATAGATACACACACACACAGACACACACATACAGACACACACACTCACTACATACACAGACACACACACAGACACATAGACACACACACACACACGCACTACACACAGACACACACACTGACAACAACAACAACAACCGCCATTCGCCACTAAGTGGCGGTGACGTCACCACGATGCTTGTGCCAGGCCAAGTGCACCTTGAGGCCACGTGAAGTGTCGAAAGCCCGCTGGCAGGAGGTCACGGGGCAGACCCAGGTGCCACTGGTCGACTGACCGAGATGACCGAGATGACTGGCTGATGCACCACCTGTGCCCCCTACTGTGCCAACTTGCTGTGCTTTAGCCACCCGGCGCTCCGCTCGTTGTTGTGAGCGTCGCTCCTCCGCCCTCCGTTGTTGTTGGAGGGCGACTGCCTCCAACTGCCCAGTAGCGTCC